ATACAGGCGGTATATGGCAGCATACAGGCGGTATATGGCAGCATACAGGCGGTATATGGCAGCATACAGGCGGTATATGGCAGCATACAGGCGGTATATGGCAGCATACAGACGGCATATGGCAGTATATGGCAGTATACAGGCGGTATATGGCAGTATACAGGCGGTATATGGCAGGATACAGGCGGTATATGGCAGTATACAGGCGGTATATGGCAGCATACAGACGGCATATGTCAGTATATGGCAGTATACAGGCGGTATATGGCAGCATACAGATGGCATATGGCAGTATATGGCAGTATACAGGTGGTATATGGCAGCATACAGGCGGTATATGGCAGCATACAGGCAACATACTCTGCTCTGCTGGAGGACTCTGCTCCTTCCTCTGCGTCTCCTCTCCTATACAATAATGTGACACGTGAGGAATTTGGCTAAAAAAACATAAACTAATCCTTTATAATCGCTCACAATGTCTCTGTCACAGCACATGAGATAAACACAGAAACTCAGATTACTAGTTTAACCAGTTCAGCTCCCCCCACCCCGTACACCCCCCTATGAACCAGAACATTTCCTCTATGGGCCTCTTTTTTGAGCAATTCAATTATGACAAAATAATACGAATATTGGTTTTTATTTTACCTATTTCTCTTTCCTGTCATAGCCTCGCGTAAGTTATTGAACTTTTTATGCAATCCAAAAGACAAAAAAAACAATAAAACAATAACAAAAAAAATCACACTTGAATTCGACCGTCAATGCTAGTTTTTATTTTTAAATATTGTTACATTTTCTTGTTTTTATGCTATGTCCTATTTAACATGACACTAAAATTACCACTCTGGTACAAAGCACTGCAAAGGTATTTACAAATTAAAATAGACCGGTGTGTGGTGGGCGGTCTCTTTTAATTTTTGCACTATTTTTTTTAAATGTGACACACAAAAAGAAAAAGATTTAAAAAAAAGTTTGAATGTCAGTGGTTAGAAAAATATAAATAAATAAGAAAAATCAGAACAAAAATAATTGCTAAATAATAATATAAAAAGGGAAAGAAGGAGTAAATGATGTGCTAAGTAGGACAAACTAAAGGTTTAACAAAGAGTTAAATAGAAACAAATGTTATAAAATAAATATTTATCTCCAGTCTGAACAATGTTTATAAACAATGTTAATTTGTATCTATTTATCTCTCTCTGATCAACGTTTATATACAATGTTACTTTGTATCTCTCTCTCCCTCTCTGATCAATGTTTATAAACAATGTTACTTTGTATCTCTCTATCTCCCTCTGATCAATGTTTATATACAATGTTACTTTGTATCTCTCTATCTCCCTCTGATCAATGTTTATATACAATGTTACTTTGTATCTCTCTATCTCCCCTCTGATCAATGTTTATAGACAATGTTACTTTGTATCTCTCTATCTCCCTCTGATCAATGTTTATAAACAATGTTACTTTGTATCTCTCTATCTCCCTCTGATCAATGTTTATATACAATGTTACTTTGTATCTCTCTATCTCCCTCTGATCAATGTTTATAAACAATGTTACTTTGTATCTCTCTATCTCCCTCTGATCAATGTTTATAAACAATGTTACTTTGTATCTCTCTATCTCCCTCTGATCAATGTTTATAAACAATGTTACTTTGTATCTCTCTATCTCCCTCTGATCAATGTTTATAAACAATGTTACTTTGTATCTCTCTATCTCCCTCTGATCAATGTTTATAAACAATGTTACTTTGTATCTCTCTATCTCCCTCTGATCAATGTTTATAAACAATGTTACTTTGTATCTCTCTATCTCCCTCTGATCAATGTTTATAAACAATGTTACTTTGTATCTCTCTATCTCCCTCTGATCAATGTTTATAAACAATGTTACTTTGTATCTCTCTATCTCCCTCTGATCAATGTTTATAAACAATGTTACTTTGTATCTCTCTATCTCCCTCTGATCAATGTTTATAAACAATGTTACTTTGTATCTCTCTATCTCCCTCTGATCAATGTTTATAAACAATGTTACTTTGTATCTCTCTATCTCCCTCTGATCAATGTTTATAAACAATGTTACTTTGTATCTCTCTATCTCCCTCTGATCAATGTTTATAAACAATGTTACTTTGTATCTCTCTATCTCCCTCTGATCAATGTTTATAAACAATGTTACTTTGTATCTCTCTATCTCCCTCTGATCAATGTTTATAAACAATGTTACTTTGTATCTCTCTATCTCCCTCTGATCAATGTTTATAAACAATGTTACTTTGTATCTCTCTATCTCCCTCTGATCAATGTTTATAAACAATGTTACTTTGTATCTCTCTATCTCCCTCTGATCAATGTTTATAAACAATGTTACTTTGTAT